AAAAAAAAAAAAAAAAGAAAGTAATTTTACCAGTTTTTAATAATAAACATGTATATTTTTGCAATCACTTTATTTTATAAATATTTGAAAATATCATCACAAAAGATTTTACATTTTAGTTAAATATTTTATTAATTTACTTTAAGTTATAGTTATAATTTCAAGTTAATTAGTTTTGTAATTGAATTAGTTAGTTTATAATTAAGTTAATTATTTTATTTTGTTAAGATTAAAAAAGCTCGTTAATTAATTTTAATTCGTTTTATTTAATCTTTAGTTGGATTCACTAATAAAATTCAACTAGGCTAGATTGTTAATTCATTTGCCTAACCTTTTATTTGCAATTTTAGCTATCAATTTTCCCACCCTAAACCCATTTGATACCAAGTTTTGGGCCTATTTCTTCAGCCCAACCGGCCCAAACTCTACTCTAAATAAACCAGCCCACTTTATTTTTTCAACAATCCAAAAATACAATACACAGCCAACAACAACAGCAAACAGTATGCTTGTTCTTCTTCTTCCTTGTGAGCAGAAACCCAGAAACAACACCAAACCGACCCAATTCCCCCTGACCCGGCCCCATCCCCTTTTTCCCTTTCAATTTCCAGCAGAACCGACAACACCAACACAGCCCCTTGCCAGCGTCTTCCTCTTCCCCAGACGCAAACCCAAAAACGTCAAAGCGACAAGCAGTCCGAAATGTCAACAAACAGCAGCTCTCACAGCTTTCTCTGCAACAATCACCCACCCTGCTCCTCGTCCGGATTTTATGGGATTTTGGACGAGATCTCATACCAAACCCAGCTGCTCCCTGAAAAAAGGATTTTTTTTGAATTTTTGAAACCAAGAGAGAATTCCGTTTTGACCCTTGTTCCTATCCGTTTTTCATCCCATCTTTCCCTATAAATTGCCCTATACATTCAGTGATTAAAGGGGAGAGGGACAAAAAAATTTTAATTTGGATTTGAGGTCATACACGACAAATAAGTTGGCAAAAGAGTTTTAGAGTTTAGTTCTCAGACAATAATCACTCATACACTTGAAAACTTTACATCTAGCTTTTTGAATCTAAGTTATGAGAGGATTGACGCTTGGATTTTCTTAGCTTGTTGTTCCTATTCGAAGTTCGTGGTAAAAGAATCGCTGGCCTCAAGCTTGTTGTCGTCCAGTTCTCTGCCCCAAAAAAGGTAATACTAGTCTTTGATTCACGCCTCTTTTGTGCCTAATGTAAGGACGATTTGCTTTTGATAGTTGTGTAGTGTTAGATGTTGGTATCCTGGGAGTGTCATGACTTACTGTTGGTTGCCAAACTTTGATACAAGTTTGTTTGTTGATTCAACTGTTCTCTTGGTTTGTTTTGCTCGAAGCTTTCTAATTCCGTATGGCATTGAGTTGGTTTCGTTCTATTTTCTTCTTGTTATTCTAACTAGTATAAATCATGTGAGTTGCTTTTAAGACTAAGTTCCGTAATCCACCTGATGGTTGCTGCACCTCTAAATTTCTTATTTAATAATGTTGATTACGTATCCTTCGTTATCGGGTAATTCGAGTTAACTTGAATCAATAAATTAGTCATTTCCAAACCTCTGGAGCATTTTTCTTTTTCTTTCTTGTGCTAAACTCGCCTTATTTAAATGATCTATTTAGCTAGTTAGTTTCTCAGTTGTATGTCTTTATCATCTTCATCCGTAAATCATGCTAAAATTGAATCTTGTCATCCGTACTCAAGTTGGTTTTGAATGTCTCTTTCTTCCGCTTCTCTCAATTGCTTGGGATTTATTATCTCATTCGTGTAACATGTCCTATTTTAATCGAATTTATGTCTCCATTTAGTCTAAGTTTTAGTCGAAAAATGCTTAAGTAAAATGTAATGGATCATTTTTTTTTCTCCGTTTCTTATTAGTAATTTTCTTATCTTGTTGGCTCTGTTGTTTAAACTCATAAAGATTACGATGTCGGTAATTAGGAGGTCGTAGGATTCACTTCAACAATTATCAAAGTAGTTTATGTTTTGCTTCTGCTCTGTTTTGATAGCTACTGGTTTATCTTCTCCTTTCTTTATAATTGATCTATTGTTTATTTGTTTTAAGTTCATTAAGGTTGTGACCATAAAGTGGAAAGTTGGCTAAATAAAAATGATTTTACTAACATTCCACCTGATGCCTTCCAAGATTAGTGTAAGTTTAGGATTATCCAAGTATTGTGGCCGTATTAATTTTATTTGCCTCTAGTTCGTCGTAGAATCTATTTTGATTTAGTCAAAGTCGTGTTGTACCATGGTTAGAATGTTAACATTATATTGAGTTTTTGATCATACTGTGAATAACCTCTTTGCTAGCTTTAAATGCTATGAGATTCTTATTTTAGTTGAATCAATTTGGTATCTGCATTCCTCTTCTGCTAATTCTTGTTCTTTTTTTTATTATTTATGTTTTTTCTTGATTGAATCGTTGCGGTTGCGGTTGAGCTCACTGAACTCCCTACCTCCCTCCTTGCATATCGAGTTGGGCCACGGAGGCCCAATCTTACTTCTTGTCGAGTTGAACTCATCATTTCGAGAAGTTGGAAGCTGAAACAGATCTTGGAAAGTTCGAAAAGGGGTTGTATACAAGATATATACAGCTATATACATCGATATATAGGTCAAAAACGCAGGAATACAGGGCTGATGCAAAATACATGTATTCGGAAGCAAGAAATACATGAAAAGAGCCTATACACATGCCGATATACACTGATATACATGAGCTGTATACCAAAAACGGGTTTTGTTTAAACCCCAAAAAAGAGTAGCGAATTTGGCCCAAGAAAGGCCCAAATTCAATTTCTCCCTTACGCTTTAATTATTTAATTGCGATTACTTATTATTTGTTGTTTAACTCTAACTTTAGAATTTTTGATTAACTTAGTTGAATTCCCCAAAAGACGAACTATTCATCTGAGTTGTTTTGTTTCTAACAAAACTTATTTTATCAACTCTTGTATTATAATTTATAATCTTTAGTCAAAAAAAAAAAATTATTAGTTTAAAATAGTTTTTTTTTCATAAACCAATATGACTCAAAAAAAAAAAAAATCAACTAATTTAGTTTCAATCCTAATTACTTGTCGCTAATTCAAATATTTCAATTAAGGTCCCATTTTCTTAAAAAATAAAAATTGCTATTTGTTTAACTATTTTATCAAAGTTAATCTAATAATGTAAATTATTATTATTAAATACTTACTTAGTCATTTTCTCAAAAAATGTTAGTTAAAACTTTTATTCTTCAATTAATTTAAAATGATTCTCATGCTTTAATTTATTAAATTGGTTTAAAAAAATGAATTAAAAAAATTCTAATTAATCTAGTTTTATTAAAATTCTAATGACTTGTATTTCGAGTCAAATGTTCTATTTTGGATCTTTTTCTCTAAAAAATAAAATAATAAAATATATCATTTATTTAATTATTTTCTTAACCAAATATTGTAAGTTATTACTTTTGTGTTAAATAACCTTTTCTAAAAAATAGTCAAAATATATTTTAGTCAAGTCGCAGGTCAACCGCATGTTAGCGGACACTTTGAATGCTTAAACCCTTCTCAAAGTGTAAATTGAACCCCGAACCCTCTTTGGTATTTTCAAATGATTTTTTCTGTTTAAATCTTTGAAAATTATAAGTTTTCTTAATTTCTTTAAAAAATTAAGTGGCGACTCTTTCTAAGTATTT